ATCTTTTCTTCGCTATCGTGCGAGAATCTATTTTAATTAGTAGTAAGGGTTATAAGCCCCTTATCGAGTCAATTCTATATCCGGAATCTAACTCTATCGCGATCTAATCGGTTTCTTCCGTTCCTATAATTACCACCTCGGTAGCGGCGCGTCTTATAATTAAAAGTGTTAATAGTTCTTTAACTCTTACCTAAGCAGTTCTTTCTTTTCCTAATCTTATTAGGGTAAATCTCCCCTCGGTCTTAAAGCGTTAAATCCTTTCTTAGTCGTTATCTTTATATTCTTCCTAAGGTTATTAATTAATAGTCCGTTTAGGAGGGCCGGAACCTCCCTCGAGCGCCTCTATTACTCTAATTAGGGTTAGAACACTTTAGGGACGCCGAATAAATCCGCCTCCGAGCACTATATTATGACTAGATAAAGACGTAGTAGCACTAGATCGTTAAGATAAAGATTAGATAAAGAGGTTAGTCCAGTAAAACCACGATATATAACCAAAATATAACTAATACTATTATAACCTTTAGCGAAGAAGTAGATCGGTAGTCACTATTCTGATCAGGGCAACGTAAGTTAAACTAGAAAGATACCTTAAACGTGGAATAAGCAATTACAAAAGAGGATAATAATTATATAATAGTCCCTCGATAGGGATATCCGGCGCCTGTCCTTAATATATATATGGGAGGTGGACCCCGTAGCCTTGAAAAGGGGGTCACGTGACTACCTGCTAAACCACTCCAAAGCCGCATCTGCGCGGTTATAATAACTCCGGCGGTTATCCCGGCGGCCGTAAAGATCCACCGTAAAGACCTCCCTCCTCCTCCGAAGAACCCTCACGATATACCCTTATACCCTTACGGCTACTTATTCCGATAGGTATAAGAAGACCACCTACGGAGCCACGAGGAGATAGGGTCGTGGATACGGGTACCGGCGTCCGTAGTAGATAGATATCAGGTTCTTAATTCGATATAGGTGATAATATATAAGTTCGATAAGTATAGATTTCTATATAAATATAAGGTAAGGCTTATAGTGCGAGGAGATTAATAGTATTAATCCTCGCTCGAGGAGATATACGTAGTAATACTAGCCGGACGGTTATTCCGCGCGTTAATAGCTATTGCCGCCCGATTTAACCTTACGCTATTATAATTTAATATTATAAACGCGTTTATACACGCGCCCCTCCCCCACGATATCTTTATATCCCCGCCGCTAGGCTTTCTAGCCCCTAGGAGTCGTTTATACCTGAAAAAGGCGTTATATAGACTTAAGGAGTCTTTACTGCTTTAGTAAAAGCACTTTTCGGCTATCCTTTTAGCGGACGGCTTCTAGATAATACCGTAAGAACCGTGTTATTTTCTACGCCGCGGTTTAATCCTATTCTTCTACGTTAACGATATCGTTATCATTTATAAGGAATAATATAAGGCGTAGATAGAGTAGGCCGTTAATAACCTATAACGCTACTATAACCTATAAGGTGGCGATTCTCTATAGTGGTTCCTCGGTATTAAGGTTATTCGCGACCGCGTCGCCCGTAAAATCTAGTTATTATAACGCGACTATATTACTAAGTTAGAACGCCTATTAAAGCCGAATAGTAAGTATAGTAGTAACTATCGCCTAACGCACCTAATTAAGGTTGTAGAGCTACTGCCCTATTTAGGGACCTTGACTGATGTTAAAAGCTATTAACGGAAGATAGGATCTATACTATACGTAGTAGTGATATCGCGGCCTGATATCGCGTTTATAGTATCCAGGCTATACCGGTTTAACGTTAATCCAGGGCCTATTCACTATAAGGCCGCCGATTATGTAATCCTCTATTTAATTAATAGCTAATCGTTTATATTAGAACTAAGGGGTGGCGATACTATCGAAATCTATACTAACGCCTTATTTACCGATAATACCCTTAATCGAAAGAGTAGTTAAGCGTACGTGATACGCTTATTTAGCGGTATAATAGCGTGGCGCGCTAATAAGCAGGATATGGTCACGACGTCTATAATGGAAGCAGAGCTATTAGCATTAGTATAAGGTGTAAAAGAGGGTATCTTTATATAACGCCTATTACTTAGTATAGGAGTGGAATTTAACGATCCGAAATTAAGAATCTTATTCGATAATAACTAAACGATTCGATTAGTTAATTAAGAGATCAGCATATTAATAACTCGCCTCCGCTACGTCGATATCCACGGCTACTAGTTACGTTAAGTAAAGGAATAAGGGTAAATACTCGTAACGTACGTTACGAGCGCGGAAATAATAGTAAACGGATTAACGAAGGCGTTATACGGCGAGAAATTTAAGATATTCAGGTCCTAGGTAGGCGTGATAGATATACGGGAACGGTTATAGCAGAAATAGCTAGAGGAAGTCCGGATAGAATATTTAGAGGACCTAGAGGATAAATTTAAGGGCGGATATAGCGAATAGATTATATAGCTAGATTATCTGCTAGTTACGAATAGCTTTAATCGCCTAATTAACGTTTTAGGGCGATTAGGGGGTATATCGAATAGACTATAGTCTTTTCGGTTACGTAATAGGCCGGATTACTAAGGGTATAATCCGGGTAGACGCTTACAGAATCTGCACTATATAAAATACGATAGTAGCGTTTCCCTAACTGTCTAAGACAGTTATAATTGTACATAATTGCCTTGATTAATTTTGACCTATTTGGTGACGATTTTGACTACGCTTTATCTGACAACTAAACCCCGGTAGAGGTGTACAATGTACGTACATGTGGGTCCTCCGTCTCCGTACCGTACGCAAGCCTTGCTGAGCTGAGCAGCGACAAGCGCGACGCCTTGGTGAACCTTTCCAGTGGAAGGGGGAAAAAATAGAAGGCGTCCTGGTCAAGATATCTTCCACCTTCCTACCCTTTTTGCCATCAAGCTTCCCGCTGCCCGAATTGAGAAACTCGGTTTCTGGGCTTTTAATTCTCTCTTTCTCATCTCAATTCCCCACCCTTCTTCCATTCTGAAAATACTTACGGGCAACGTTGGGCCCGCTTGCACTGCTCCAAGCTCCTGCCCTTTCCCGCCTCCCATTGTTTTAGCTTCATTTTCCATCACCCCGGCGCAAAGGACGCCTACTCATCGCCCGATATGAGCACCTCTATGCGAGACCTTATCTCCGGCGAGGCTGAACTGGATGACGAAGAAGGGGATGAGTCCTATGGAGAGGAGGATGGCGAGCCCAGGGCGCCGAGGCCTCGAAATGGCCGTCTAGAAGACTCATCCGAGGAAGAGGATGATGACGATGATGAGGAAGAAGCCGCCAAGGTAAGAGGGCTGACTGCCTATGCTGACTGCTAGCACATCTGGGCACCCCGTTCCCCTCTGCATCTACTTGACTCACGCGTTTCACAGATCCGTGAAGGCTTCATCGTTGACGAGGACGAAGAGGAAGACGAGGAAGAAGAAGAGGCCGACGTCCAAGAACGAGCATCCAAGAGAAAAAGAGAGCATCGCGTCCGAGAAGAGGAAGAGCAGTTAGACGAAGAAGACTTGGAACTGATTGGAGAACAAATCGAGGGACGAGCTCCATCAGAGGTATGTTGTGTTTTGCCTTACTACCTGTCTTCTGACGAGACCGCCGTTTGCTCGTTCGGCTCTTTCTACACCGGGCGTCGTTCTGACCATCACCACTAGCCCAAATTCAAGCGTCTTAAGCGGGGCCATCGAGACGACAGCGCCCGACCGACCCAACGCCGCGGCCTCGAAGATATGTTTTCCGACGACGAAGATGAAGCCGGCGAACGCCACTACGGTCGACAGAGCTACCGTGCCCAGGCTGACGAGTTTGATGACTTCATCGAAGAGGACTTCCCCGAAGATGAACAAGAGCGCATGCAACGACTCGAGGACGCCGAAGTTGCCCGTCCCCGCGACAAGGGCGTCTCGAGCGTCGTCGATACCACGGGTCTCGACAAGGATGCCCTGGAAGATTTCGAGGCCATCTTCGGAAACGGCGAGGACTACGAATGGGCTTTACAATTGGAGGATGAGGAGGTCGATCGGGAGCGCGAAGAGCAAGCCATCGAGCTCAAGGACGTCTTTGAGCCCTCTCAACTCAAAGAGAAGCTCCTCACCGACGAGGATAACGACATCCGCTTCACCGACGAGCCGGAACGTTTTCAACTCGACCGGAAGCCGTTTAAGCACCTTCAGATCACGGCCGAGCAATTTAAAGAGGAGGCCCGTTGGATCGCGAATCATATCTGGCCCAAGAAGATGCTCCGCCCGGATCTCCACGGCCCGTTCGTCAAGGCCATCGGCAAGGTCCTCGAGTTCTTCGTCGTCGACGACGTTGAGGTTCCCTTCGTCTTCCAACATCGCAAGGACTATCTCATCCATACCAAGAAGGAGCGCAACGAGGCTCACGATCGTGAGCCCGACGCTCCGGAATACATAATCACCGCCGACAAGCTCCTTACGCAGGATGACCTCTGGCGCATCCTCGAGCTCGATATCAAGTTTCGGTCCCTCATGGAAAAGCGCAACGCCCTGGAGAAGTCGTTCGACAAGCTGAGACTGGAAATGAGCGTCGAGGACCACATTCTGGCCGAGATGATCCCCCAGGCAGCCAACATGGAAGAGCTGCAGGACCTCCAGGACTACATGCACTTCCAGTACGGCGCGCAGTTGAAGGACCTGGCCTCGATGAACGGCACTTCAAAACAGACAAAGCGACCCGGGTCCAAGGCGGCCCTGTACGAGAGAATACGCAACAGCAAGGTCTACGACTTTGTCCGGGCCTACGGCATCACCCCGGACCGGTTGGCCCAGAACGCGCTGCGCGAGGGCAGCAAGGTCTTCGCCGACGACGACAGCCAACTGCCCGACGATCTCGCCGACGCACTTACCGACGGGGACTTTTCGACCGGAGACGCAGTCCTGCAAGCGGCGCGGCAGATGTACGCCGAAGAGCTGTTTATGAGTCCGCGGATGCGAAAGCATTTCAGGGGCAACTTCTACGAAATGGGGGACATCAGCTGCCGTCGTACCGAGAAGGGCTTGCGCAAAATCGACGAGTCACACCCGTTCTTTGAGGTCAAGTACCTCGTAAACCAGTCCTTCTCCGACATGGCCCGACGACCGCACTTGTTCCTTAAGATGATGAAGGCCGAGGAGGAAGGGCTCATTGAGGTGCGCGTGACCATGCAGAACGAAGACAGCTTCAAGCGCTCGCTACGACAAGAGTTCCTCTCCGACAACTACAGCGAGCTGGCGGATCGGTGGAACGAAGAACGCCAGAAGGTCCTCGATCTGGTCATCCCACGCCTCCTCAAGATTGTCGCCAAGGGTGTCAAGGAGTCGGTACGGACAGCATGCCAGGAGGAGGTCTTGGCCACTTGCAGGGAAGAGTACTCCAAGAAGATCGACCAAGCGCCGTACAAACCCAAGGGGATGGTCCTGGGCACGACGCCCCGCGTCCTCACCCTCTCGACCGGCATGGGCGACCCGGCCCGAGACACGACCTACTGGGCGTGGGTCGACGAAGACGGCCGTTTCAGCGACCACGGCAAGCTGGAGAGGCTTTCCCGGGACGACGCGTCCCGGCAGGAGTTTGTCGATTTAGTGCAGCGGCGGAGACCGGACGTTATCGGCGTGAGCGGGTGGACGGCCGAAGCGCACAAACTGGTCCGCGATCTGCAGAACCTTGTAAGCGAGCAGGGGTTGATGGGGCCCGAGTTTGAAGACCCCGAGACGGAGGAGTACCGGGCCGAGCTGCTCGACGTCATCGTCGTCAACGACCAGGTGGCGCGGTTGTACAAGGACAGCCCGCGTGCGTTGGCCGAACACCCGACGCTCGTCTCGCTGACTCGGTACTGCATCGCCTTGGCCCGGTTCATGCAAAACCCGCTGAAGGAGTATGCCGCGCTTGGCAAGGACGTCGCCTCTCTCGTGTTCCACCCTTGCCAGCATCTCCTGCCCCAGGATAAGCTGCTGAAGCATCTCGAGTCAGCCATGGTCGACATGGTGAACCTATGTGGTGTCGAGATTAACGAAGCCGTCGGCGACGCCTACACGGCCAACCTGCTCCCATACGTCGCGGGTCTGGGGCCCCGCAAGGCCACCAGCGTGCTCAAGGCCATCGGCGCCAACGGTGGGTCGGTAACGAGCCGAGACGAACTGGTAGGAGACCCCGACAGTGGCAAGTTGCCCGTCGTCGGCCCCAGGGTCTGGAACAACTGCGCCAGCTTCCTGTACATCGAGTACGAGGCAGCTAACCCTGCATCGGATCCCCTCGACAACACCCGCGTGCATCCAGAGGATTACGAGCTGGGTCGCAAAATGGCAGCGGACGCGCTCGAGCTCGACGAAGAGGACGTCAAGGGGGAGACCGACCTCAACGGGCCTGGCGCCATTGTGCGCAAGCTCTTCCGGGACGACGCGCAGGAGAAGGTTAACGAGCTCATCCTGGAGGAGTACGCGCAGCAACTGGAGGACAAGTACAGTCAGAAGAAGCGGGCGACGTTGGAGACCATCCGGGCCGAGCTTCAAGCCCCGTACGAAGAACTGCGGAGGAACTTCGTTGCGATGACGCAGGACGAGGTCTTCACCATGTTCACGGGCGAGACCAAACAATCACTCGCGGAGGGCATGATCGTCCCTGTCAACGTCCGCGTGGTAAAGGACGAGTTTGCCATCGTCAAGCTGGACTGCGGCATCGAGGGCCGCATCGACGCGCACGACGGGCCGAACGGCGAGAGCGTCCGGCACGTCCTTTCGACGGGGCAGACGGTTCAGGCGAAGATTCTCGAGGTTAACAGCCAGACGTTCCTAGCCAAACTCTCCGCCCGGGAGAGAGATATCAAGGCCGGGTACCGGAGGCCCGTACTACACCCTAAGGGTCAGTGGGACGAGGCACTCGAAGCGGAGGATCGAGACGAACTCCGGGAGAAGGACAAAACCACGGGACGGACGCAGCGCGTCATCAACCACCGTCTCTTCAAGCCGTTCAATGGCATGGAGGCGGAGCAGTGGCTCGGGACGCAACCGGTCGGCGAGATGGTGATTCGGCCTTCGTCCAAGGGGAACGACCACCTGGCCATCACGTGGAAGGTGGCGGACGGCGTGTTCCAACACGTCGACGTGCTCGAACTGCAGAAAGCGAACGACTTTTCCCTCGGCAAGCTGCTGCGTGTCGGCAGCAAGACCTTCAGGGATATCGATGAACTGATCCGAGAGTACATCGAGGGCATGGTCAGGAAGGTGGCCGAGATGACACAGCATGAGAAGTATGAAAATCGGTCACGGGCGGATGTCGGTACGTATTTTTGCCCCCCTCCCCCCTTTTTCTTCCTTCTCTCTCTCTTTTTTTTTTCCTCCTATCATTTTTTGCTTCTCAAATATGCTTGGACTGAATCTCTAACTCGTGCCACAGAGAAATGGCTCACAACCTACGTGGATGCCAACCCGAACCGCTCGGCATACGCGTTCTGCATCAACCCGAAGCATCCGGGCTACTTCTGGCTGTGCTTCAAGGCGACCAAGACGGCGCGCATCAATGCCCTGTCCGTCAAGGTTATGAACGAGGGCTACGAGTTGATGAAGAACCGGTATCCGGACATGCGTGGTCTTTGCAACGGGTTCAAAATTCTGTACTCGAATGAGATGTCGAGATTGCAAAGGCAGCAACGCTAAGGCGGGGACGCATTCGCGAGTCCTTTTTTTTTTCTTTTTTTTCTTTTTTCGGCAGATAGGGGTCCGGAGGGAGAACGAGAGAACCGAAGCTATGGTGTCGAGGGAGGTGGATATGTCTACAATCACTGGCTTCCCCCCCC